GAAGCATCCTAGACATAGTACCTTGGCTCGCATCTGCCTCATGCAGGTTTAGGGCAAACACACGGGCTCTACCTCCTCCTTTCTGGATCTGGGCCTACTGCTGAAACTGCTGCTAGGGTTGCTGCTGGGGCCACTGCTGCCCCTGGCCTTTCTCTGGGCAATCGTAAGATATGTGTTCCTCCTTGCAGGAATAACAAATCCTCTGAACGGCTAGGTACTGTCCCCCGTGAATCCGGCTGCAGCTGCCAAAAGGTGGACGAGCTCTCGGAGCCTGCTGTGCTGGCTGACGGTCACCTCGTCCACCATTTCCTCCCTTTTTGTTATGCTGGTTCTTCTTCTTGCCTTTGAACTTTCTCTTACCCCCACTACCGGACGACTGGGCAGAACACTGCTGATAAACGACTGGTTGTACCTAGACTGGCTGGAACGTGGGTGGCTGCATCAAAACTGGTTGAATCATCATGGGCTGAGCTACTATCTGTTGAGCAGTGTTTAACTCCAGATGCTGACAAGTCGCTATCTGCTGAGCTTTCAGAACGGTCTCTGCATAGATTAGGGACCCATGACTCCTTAGCACAAAACGAAGGTCCTTCTGCAGCCCGTTCAAAAAATGACGAGACTTGTTAAAGTCTGTGTCCACCATGTGCGGGGTAAAGTGGCTCAGTCTGGTAAATTCCCGCTCATACTCCTCTACGGATCGATTTTCCTATTTGCAAGCATAAAACTGCCCCTCCATCTGCTCCCAGAAATAATAGGGATAGTACCTCTTTGAAATGAGGATCTTCATTTGATCCCACGTCATAGCATCCCTCTCAGCTGTAGTCTTAAAGCGCCAAACATCTGACCACTATCTACCCGCATCCCCTATCATCTAGAAGCGGGCACAAACAATCTTCTTCTGGTCTGAGTAGTTAAGGACCTCAAAGATCATCTCGAGCTTCATAAACCAGTCATCAACTGCTTGTGGCACGTCTGCCCGGTGAAAGTCAGCGAGGACAGACTACGAAACTGACCCATGATCTAAACATAGTTTTGCCCTTGAGCAGGAGGGGGTTGCTGGAAGACAGAGGGAGGCTGATGAGGTTGGGGCTGCTGAAAGATTGATGGCTGCTGCTGATTCAGAGGGTCTGGCTGCTGGTCACTGCCCCTATCTCCTCGGCCTTTTCGTCCCCCTCGTTCATCTCTACCTCTACCTCTCTCTCTGGTTGCCATAAGCTGGCAGAAAGAGAGAAAACTTGAATTAGACGAAGGAGATTTAACTGGAGTTATAAGAATTGAGAGTAGAATGTTCTAGGCCCCAAATCTAAATTATAATTATGCAAGTCACAGAGATGCACAACTTAGACATCTCGAAAACTTAACTACTCAACTTACCTCGAAGCTGGAGCAGTTGGACGGGGACGGGTGGTCATAAACAAACTCAAACTGGAGGATTATGAAAATTTTTCTAACTTTGAAAACTTTGCAAGTCTACAGAACCATAGACCTTCTCTGATGCCACACGGTAACGCCCACTTCTCATTTAAAGAAAATAGTAATATTTTCAAGAAAATTTAAATTTTTCAAAAAATCTAAAAATTATTTCTCTTGGGTCGTTACTCATAAAGCTCTTTATTTTATAAAAACTCTAACTCTTTTGTTTATCTTTCTTTTCTCTCAACTCTCAAGCTGGCTGGAGAAATGCAATAAACTAAAAAATGCATTAAGTCTCAAAATATCAAATTTCATAATCCTCAAATCAAACATGCAATAATCTCAAAAATCCAATGTCTCGACATGAAAAAATAATACTGAAAAGAACTGCAACGTATGAAATAAATAACTAAATAATAATAAACTTATGACCACACTGCCCTACCTCCAGTGTCGCCTATCCAGCTGCTTAACCTGAAGGTTGGTGTGGGGGGTGAGAATAATAATAATCAACGGCCTCACATGGAGTCTATATAGTACAAACATTCGAATTAAACAAAAGATACCGTTGCAAGCAGCTATAGTACACAAACAATGGTTTCAAAAAGAGTTCTAGCAACCAAAGCAGTACTAATGTGCAACTGAAAATTCTAGCAACCATCTGGGTATTGCCCTTCAGGTTCACTGGTTGTCTACTTGGCCCTTCGGAGTACTGCTCCTAGGGGTACTAGCTAGCATGCGACATATCTGATCTGGGAACAACTACAAAAATAGTTGTTCATGCCGTATGTGATCAACCGTCCGGTATATAACTGAAAACTGAAAACTGGAAACACATAATTCATGCAAATAACGACAAACAAAAATACCACAATGTTTAATCAGAATGATATACTCGATAGACTTCCCCACCTGGATACTCTGGATCTGCTACTGGGATGAGTTGTCGCTTATGAGGAAACTCGAGGGCTCGACTCCTCAGAATCTACATAAATTAAGCAATACTAGGATAAATAGCTACTTCTGACTCGGTAAATTAAATTTACCAATTGAAGGATTTTCTGGCTTAAGGTTCATGACTTATAGACTTTCTGCTCTTTTTTAGATGTTGGAACTCTTGACTCGGAATCTTTAAAAAAATTCTCAGAATTAACTCTTTGAAAATCTATAATTAGCCTTGACTCAAAAATCATTTTAAAGCTTGGAAAAACTTCTGGAAGTTTCATAAATAGCTCGGGAAATTTAAAAACAGGTTTTGAAGCTATTAAAAACTGGTTCAGGCTTGGGAAAAAGGAGTTGACAATAAAGGACGGGACACGGGGCTTTGTAGGTCGCGAAAGTCTTCTTCGCACGGTAGGGTCGGCAGTAGGGCGTCGCACAGGCTGCTATCACATGGTCCTCGCGGCACACGATGTACGCGGCAAGTGTCGGCTGCCCGCGTGCTTACGGGTGCGCCTGCGTGCTCGCGGCAGTGGCCTAGCAGCATCCCGACTGTCGTGACCCGACACCATGCTGCGGTTTTCCCGACAACTTTCTCGACCCAACAACACATCTTACGGCTAACTTTTAATATTTATTTGGAGTCCATAACACCATATTTTCCAACATAAAATAGGGCTAAAAATAATTTATCAAAGATCTAATTTTTCTCAATTTATTACTAAGGTAAATGACTCCATTTAAACCAAAATTTAAGGCATATATACTCAATAATATCATGCCTAAAAACAACGTAACAGAGGCTAATATAGTGAAAATTTATAACCTGCTCAAACCTCCTCCATTAGAAAATAAAAGGCTCACATGGAAAAAAGTGTTTGATTTGTTTAATCGCACTTAAAGGCAAATTAAAACAAAATCATCTCCAGCTACTTACACATAAAATCAAAGCTCAAATTTATCATCAATATCTCAGCCTTCCCTAAAAAATTTCGAAATAAATAAAGGAATTTAAACAAGGCCATTTTACATGATTTCACAAATGACTTAGAGCCATTATCCTGACTGCTGCAAACACATACTCTCATTATTTTAAGAGGCTAATTGACAAGGATGCAAGAGTTCAACATCATCAATAATAACCCGATTGTTCATATCTCATGATTTTATCTAAAATCAAATGTCTAGTCGTCATGAACCTTAAATCTTACTTAATCCTTCGATAATAACTCGAAATCAAAGAAGTGAGGTAAAGCCGTATACCTCCTTCGGGATTAAACGAGAAACGATTAAAGGGAACCGGGAATAGAAAGCCACGACTTGATGCTATCCCGCTCGGCTGTTGCTCGTTCTTTGCTGCTGGACACGGTTCCTTGAGCCCGCTGTTACTCGGTGGTTCTGGACCGGAAAAATGTACTAACGGCCTGCTCAAACGGGGTTGCTGGGGTTATGTGGAAAGACTGGGATTCTTGGCACTCGGCTCACGTCCAGAACACGCTGCTGTTCTCGATCGGACGATGGAGATGGTGTCGTGGCAAGATAACAACTGGCACTGCTGCTCGCTGGTGGTACCCGCTGCACGCCGACAGCGAAGGGCTGTGATTCTCGGCCACTTGATGTCGATGGAAGATGATGGCTATGGCGAGGCGATGACGATGGAGGTTCTGTTGGTGTTGTGGCGTGAAAAAGAAAACTTGAGGATGTAGGAGATGGATTACAGTTTCTGATTAACTGAAAAGGTGTGCTTAAAGCTCTGATTTTTGTGGATGGAAATGACGTGAAACAAAACAGAACGTAGAGAGGGGTTATAGAAGATAGAAAGTGGACCATTTCCTCATAATTTTAAGTGATATGGGCGAGAGAGGAGGGCTGGGAATCAGCTCAAAATGCTGACTAAGTCTCAAGAAGTTCCACCAATAAATATGCTTAAGGAATACTTGTTTACCAAATAACTTGGAGCCTAAATAAAATAGCGAGGGCGGTTAATCTCATGATCAAAGGGCCAAAAAAATATAAGCTTAAAGAGGCTGAAAAATAAGGCTAATAATTGGCTCGCAAAAATTCTAAGGAGTCGAGAAAATAAATCAACGACACTGGAGACGGCTAAAATAATTGGCTCTCGCTAGACTGCAAAATTCTAATGCTCGCTAAACTCTGAAATAATTTAAATAGACGAAAAAGTCTAAATAAATTATTTATCTCAAATGATTAAAATAGACACTCCCGTTTGATTAATCAATTTTACTGGTCGAGCTGATAAAATAAAATGCAATAAAATACATAATATTATAATAATTCGAGATGTCTATTGAAATAAAATCGGGGCACCATTATGAAGTCATTCATAGTTATTCACAAATTGTATATTAACATGTGTCTTGTAAAAAAAAGTAAAAAATTAATGTGACATATGTAAAGTTATAAAGTTATAGATGACTGAGTCATCTCGTAGAATTTATGTGGATATTGAAGTGTTGACTTTTAAAAGCCAAGTGGCTCTCTAAAAACAAATACTAGCATTGAAATAAAAAGGTCAACTTGGGACCAATTTCCTCGCCAGACCGACCCGTAGAGAGATGAAAAGGCTCATCTTCTAAACTGGTACTGAAGCTCTCGTAAAGGACTGCCTCGTTCTACGTCCAATTGAAATGGCTACCTTCAAGTCGACTTCCAGAAGAGGTGCCCCGGAGGCGGAAGCCAGAGCCCCTCTGTCTACCTCGCGGCGGCGGTCTCACAGCGTAAGCGCTGTTTCGCGGAAAGCCCACTCCCAATTCGACGATCAATCTCAGATCCCCTCCGAATTTTCTAACCGCAGAGATAACCCACTTTTCTGGGCTACATCTTCTTCGCCACCCGATGGAGAGCAAAATGAGAGGATCAACCGAAGTGCTTTCTGTAGTAATAGACAATCCTCTGCTTCGAATTCAAGAAGTGCAGGAAACGGCAATGACAGTTGTGATTCTTTTAGCGGACAGAGGGGTCGTTCTGCTACACGTGGTTTAAGTGAAAAGAAAGGGATCGGCCGGAGCTTATCGAGGGCTCGAGGGCGGTCTGTGTCTAGAGCCTCTTGTAAAGGAGCTTATGAGGTGTGTGTTTCCAGAAATGATTTGGTTCCTAAGTGTGGGTTGTAGAATTATTTAGCTCCTTGGAACTTTCTGTTAGCTTGCTCACTGAATGGTGACTAGTGTATAACTCTTTTGATTTCAAGATAAAAATTTTGATACTTGAATTTTTCTTGAGAGACTGAACGACTTTAATGACTGACGCATAAGATTGCCATCTTCAAAATATTAAAATGAATAGATCATTGATGGCTTAAACCATTGAGCATTGATTTTAATTGCATTGTGAATTACCGGAATAATAATGTATCGTATGGAGAATAGTAAATCAGAGCTTTCATCGTTTGCTTATGCAAAGCTAACTCTTTTTGTTTATCGTGTGGCATTTTACTTAATCAAGTGTGGAAATGATCGGGATGTGGTACCATCTTCTATTGCTCATAGCAGAAAGGAGATTAGAAAAAGTGACAAAGTTACAAGAAGACCGAATTCTGTTGGACGTAGAGTAGATGTGCAGAGCCGTGCAATGAATGTAAGAGGGCAAGCAAGTGAGTGTTCCGAAGATGATTCTGCCGTGAGTATGATAGTAAAATATTCTATTCATTCGTCACTTTGTGTTGTTGACCAGTCAATGTATTACAAGTTTTGCACATTCGCAGTGTAGTATGCCGATATCAAATCTGGAGGATGGAATATCAATTGGTTCCTTATCAGAAGCTGAAGAGAAAGCTATTAACGGTGCATATAACGAGTTACATGTAAGTCCGATTTCACTTTCTATGTTTTGTGATCGTGTTTTTTTCTAATCTTATGGTTGGGGTTATATGCATCTCATGAGTTACATGGAAGTTCTGAATGTGTACTCTCAATATATTTAGTAATGCTCTCTGTCATTAGTTGTTTGCCAATGTGTCTACTAGAATATATGGAACTGTCTGATCCGAATGTCTTAAGTTATGCTTGACATCTGGAATGATCTTCAGGTCTTAATGTTTCGTGGTGTAAGTAGGCATAGTGCATTATTTCTTTCTTTTTCTTTCTTTTTTT